GCTAAGCAGACGGTGGCTGTGTTCGTCATCATCATCATTATACGTGTCAGCTAGAGGTGGGGAACCGCCTCCGCTGTTGTACTGCAATACATAAATGGAATACATACATTCATACAATACATAAATGAAAAATAAATACAACATTTACATGTCAGCTGAGCTACCAGCAACGGATAGGCATCGTTCCGGTAAGCTACCAGCCAGCTACTGGGCAAAAAGAAAAAAGAAATATGTTTTACCCTACGAAATGAGATCGTAGATGGAGGGGAAGGCTAAGAGGGATGGGGAGGGACAAAGAAACTCACAGCAGGAACGCCACTGAGGTCGGCTCCTTGCCATGTCAGCAAGTGTATCCAGCCAAACGTGTTCACCGTCTTTTGGACCCCAACCAGGGAGCTGTGAAGCTCCAACCGAGGCTAGCTCCGAAGTGTGGGACAGTGTTCGTAGTCAGGACCGGTCATGTAGCTACTGTACCGCTCGTACGACAACACACAGTCACCGGAGAGTGGTACACCACCCACTGTCTGTCACAATTGCTGCAAGCTGTAGCCAGTCATTGTCCAACGTCTCGAGCACGAGGAACTTTACTGCGTGATGACAGTGCACCTGTACACAGGTCCCTTGTTGTCGTGGATTTTCTGACAAGAGAACGCATCCAGAAGCTTGGTCACCCACCCTGCAGGCCAGACCTGACTCCGTGTGTGTTTGTGTTCCCCATTCTCAAGCTCATTACACGTGGAATGCGCCACGAGTCTCTAGAAGCCATAGCAGAGATATTTATTGAGCTGCTTACAGGGTTGCCGCTTTAGCATGGCCGAGCTGCTTCTCTATGGTTTGAGCACATGGAACTGTGCATGAACAGGGGTGAAGAGTAGTTGGAAAAAATGTACCGCATATTTTGTAAAAAATAAAACATTTTGCACCCATAAACTTATTTCTCTACCCTCGTACACAGCTATTTTCGGACGCTGCTCTGGTTTGCTAGCTAACCGCCGTGCCGTGGTGGATGCCGACCCACTGACTGGTAATATTCCCACGGACACACTGAATTCGGTGCGAGAACAGAGCGTCACAAGTGATTTAGCGCGCAGGCTGTGGTAACAGCCAGTAATATAACAGCATATCCAGTTCAACATGCTATGGAGACCACCAGTCTCTGGCGACCAGCCAATAACCTCCCCAAGCTTTTCTATGATTAATATCCCTATGCATGAACCTGTCCATGGCGACAACCTGTCCAAGGCAACCACTTTGTCGTTCCCTTGAGTGGTTGCTTTCTACATATTTAGCAGTAGTTATTAGTGTCCGTCCCAATGAGGCTGAACCTAATCGTGGTGCGATGGTTTGCGTGTCTCAGTGATCCGTTGAGCTATGCTGAGTGGTGCATTTTTGTACCTTTAGAGTCACTCATACCAGATTGGTCAATGGTTAGAGGTCAGACAAACTCAGCCTCCTGGTCCTCCAGCTTAGGGGTTGGAATAAGGGTGGGTCCTTATTCCTTAAAACGGACTCCTTGTAGCTCACTGCCAAACCCGCCGTCTTGCGGTCAGGTTTTTAAACCAAAGGCTTCGGCTGAGAACTCTAACCTTTCTCCTGTCTAGGCCTGGGCAACCTGACGATATCCTGCTCACGCAGTACAATGAATTTCTTTTCAAACAGTATCCTGATGCTCTGGCCGTAGCAGAAGATAATCAATGGTGCCCTGCCTGCTGCATCGAACAGGGTAGATGGGGATTTGGATGATAATGCCCAAGACTTCCCGCTTGCTTATTAAGCTTATTGCACATTTCACCCTTATCATCCCGTTCCAGCTTCACTTTTATCCCCCAGTTTTCAACCTCCCGATACTTGGCCCTTTCCGAACATGCTTTGCTTGGTGTTGAGGTTCGAGGTTCAACTCACATGCAGCACGGAGCGTCACACCTGTCCTATCGACAAGTCCATGTCCAAGCAAGCGGTCCACCCCAGTTCATCGGCTTCCATATGGAGTCCACGGTTCTCCTTCCGATTAGCATGCCGCAATGTACGCACACTGCTACAGATCGGTCGACAGACAGCACTTTCTCGACTATTAAAGACTCTCCCCATCGATATCTGCTGCTTATTAGAGACCCGCCTGCAATTCTTGAACTCTGTGCTCACTCTGCGGTCCTCTTCAGGTGACACCAACGGTATTTTCTCATTGCGCCTATCCGGTGACGATGCAGGTTCGAGCGACTGCCAATCTGGGGTTGGCGTTTCCCTGAGTCCCCGGGCTGAAGCTGCTCCAGTTGATTGGATCCCAATCAGTAGCCGGATGGATGCTGTTCAGTTGGCGGACTCGTTCAAAGCTTCGAAGTCGCATCGAACCAGCCTTGGACGCAAATCGGGCACACTGCAATCAGTTACCCCTGGAGAGGCTGTTTCCAGAAACGTCGTTCGATTTGGAGCACATCTGTGGACACCCACCATGCACTTGTATGTGCTGACATGCGGGTGCGTTTTGGCGGACGCCCAGGACGACGGTGTGAACGCATTGACACCAGTCAACTAGCGAAGCCAGCTGTTCTGAATGCGTATCGAAATACGGGGACATGGGGGTTGAGTAAGCGCTCACTGGAGAAAAGTGAAAGTCACTGGTCGCATGTTCACCAGACCTTACTAGAAGCAGGCAAATCCTCAAGTGATAAGTCCAATGCTCAACATGGACATTGGGTCTCTTCGCGATCGCTGGAAATTATCGATGCTAACTAGCATATTCCGGCTAGAATCGAACACAATGAAACCCGCAAAGAGCTCCGGACAAAACTCCGTGCTAGCCTGAAGAGAGACCGCGAATCCCGGTGGTCTCTTCGTGCGTCAGAAATGGAAGTGACCGTATGATAAGGAAAACGGTCAGCAGATGACATGATGCTAGTGAAATAATTTATGATGATAGTGGACAGCCTATCCACAATTTGTCAAAACGTTTGGAGCGTAGGGCTGAGCATTATGAAAAGCAATTTACTCGACCGCAATTTTTAGTTCCTCACCGACCAGTGGTCGCCCTGCGCCCTGGGCTGTCCCTTTGAATCGGCTCTCTCGTTTAGAAGTTAAACGTGAGACCGGACTGTTGAAGTTGAGCGAAGTCGCGGGACCAGATGATCTTCATCCAGCCCACTTCGAATTCGTGGGGCCTTCTCTTGTTGATGATTTACACGAGTTACCACTGAAACTGGGAAAGCAGAAAACTGTCCAAACCGACTGGAGCCGCTATGTTGTTGTTCCGATCTTCAAAGGCGGCTTGCGTGCAAACTTCAGCAACCATAGAGGAATCAGTCTGATCCCCATCGCCTCCAAATTACTTGCCTGTGTAATCCTTCACAGACTGACTGGCGTTCGTGAAGGTCAGATTCGTGAGGAGTAAGCCGGGTTTCGTCGGAATCGTTGCTGAATCGTCCACATCTTCACCTTGCGTCAGTTGTTGGAGCACCGTCACACATATTAGCGACCCACCGTTGTCGTGTTCCTCGACAGCAAAGGTGTCTTCGATTCAGTTGATCGATGTGCCCTTTAAGACCGTCTACACAAGAAAAGTGTGCCGGAGAAATATGTAAATATTTTCCGAGCATTATCCGCGAGTAACTCGGGCAGAGTGAGGGCTTACGGCAAGCTGTCGTCGTCCCACAATATCTCAAGCGGTGTGAGACAAGGATGCCCGTTGTCATCTTTCCCCTTCAAATTCGCTATTGACGAAATCATGGAGATTGCATTTACAAGTCACGACTTAGAAGCTGCGGTGCTACTCCCAGGAGAACGACTTCTTGACTTGGCGTATGCAGACGACATTGCTCTCATCTGTGACAGCTCCCAAACACGTCAAGCTGCACTGGACAGATTAGCACTGGCTGTCAGCCGCTTCCGGCTTTGCTTTGTATACTCAAAGTGCAAAGCGTTCCTCCAATATTTTCAGGGATCGTCTCCTGCGCTGACCCTTGGTGGGGATCAGCTAGAAGTCATTCAAAATTCAACTACCTGGGAAGTTGTATTAGCGCCCTTGGGATCGAAGATGAGATCACGAACCGTATAGCAAAACCTCGAGTTGCTTTCGCTAGCCTTTGCCACCTATGGCGGCGGTGCAACATCACTCTCGCCCTGAAGGGTAGAGTGTACAATGCAACAGTACCTTCGACCTTACTGTACGGTTGCGAAACCTGGCCCCTTAGATCAGCAGATGTTCGACCACCGGTGCCTTCGCAGTTTGGCTCACATCTGGTGGGAACACCGCGTGAGCAATGAGCGTGTTCTACGCCTTGTTTACGGCACAGGAAAGGAAATTAACCCCTCAGCACGGTTTTTTCAAACAACATGCTCCGATGGCTCGGCCAAGTGTTACGAATGCCGACCCACATGCTCTCGCGACGTGCGTTGTTTGCTAGCCGGGGGTGTGGGTGGAAGAAAAGGAGGGGTGGCAAAGCGATGACTTGGTAGAGAGGAATGTAAGCCCTCAATTCGAAGCTGGCCTCCGTTGGGACGTCACGGCTCCCTGGTGGGGTTCAAACAGGCGATGAACATGTTTGACTAGATACACTTGCTGACATGACTAGGAGCCGACCTCAGTGGCGTTCCCGATGTGTTTCTTTGTCTCTCGTCATCTCTTTTATCCTCCCTGCAACCACCTTCTTATTTTGCAGCATAATATAATTTTCTATAATAAATTTTGTTGTTGCCTAGTAGTCGGCTTGTAGCTTTCCGGAACGATGCCCATCCGTATCTGGTAGCTCAGATGACATGCAGCGCGTCCATTTATTTTCTTTCATGCTTTTATGTATTGCGACACAGTACCTGAGGCATTTTACACCTCTAGCTAATGTGCATAATGATGAGGATTAGTCATTACTGTACTCTAGTACTCCATTGATCATATGCAGCCCTCGGAACGATAGATTCCGCGAGTAAAGAAGCAGAGAGTGATCTTATCAGTTGTACCTGAGCGACCAACTTTCAGAAAGTAATTTTGGTGTCAAGCTTAAATGAACTTTTCAAACAGCTACGGATGATAACTTCCCATTTATGCTTTCTAGCGGTGGTTTTTGTTCAGTTTCGTCCTCTTCTTTAGTGTCCAGCACAACTGCAGTTAATTCTTCGGGTTCCGAGGACGATTCGGTATGGATGATTGGCACGTTTAGTTCAAACCGCAGTTGTAGGGCGTGAACTCTTCCTTCTACACTGGTCCACGGCAGGACTGACACTGTGAAGTCGTGCATACTAGCCCAATCCGAATCACCTTTATGCAGTCCCACGCTTTCCCAATCTCTGGATTTCTGCTCGATTTCTAGCTGGAAAGTACCGGGAAATAAAAACAATTAGTAAGGATTGGCTGGAAAATCTGTTATGTTCATTTGTTAAGCAAGCAACGATAGCAGCCTATGAATACACCATTTTCCGGCCAAGTTGTCCCCTTGGGCAACAGAAATAATCTGAGGGGACATTCAACATGAGTCTACTCAATTGGTTTGCTCCGTGCGTAGGAGCTGAAGCGTCTCACCTGCACCCCTATGACTTAGTACGTCTGAGGTCCAAGTGACTGGCTGCACAAGTGACCGGTGTACGCACGGAACTAATTAATTGAGTAGACTCATGTTGAATGCCCCCTCAGATTATTCTTGTTGCCCAATAGGACAACTTGGCCAGGAAATGGTATAGTTCCATTTGATCTTTGCTCCGGATGTGGATGCGCCTTTATATGTGTATACACACTGCGAATCACCTACCAATTAGGCATCTGTAACAAGCCGCCTCTCCACAAAATATTTGCGAGGACCTCGTATACACTTTCTTCTATGCTTGTTAGCATTGCTTATAAGACGCTGACAAATTTAATTAATAACGTCCAAGTCAATAAGAACTTCACATTCGCTGGAACTTGTGTCATAGATAATCCGAGTCACATTGCCGCGCATTGCGCGAATCGTACTTTTGATCGGGACTCCCCTGATTAGATTGGGTTATAAGTTTTCAGTATCATGAAACTGGTCTGCCTATGGATATTGATTGCGGATATGAAAGCAGAACTTAGTTTCTTAATGCCAGCGTCAAGTTCTCAACCTGGAAACAACCTGTAGCTTACCAACGTAGGCTTCATTAGTCGGGCAAATCTTCCGGCTTGCATTGATAGATTGTAAATAAGTATCTGATGTCGCTGGATTAAACCGTTTGTGGATTCGACGGAGTCACCCAACTCGTTGTAATTGAGATCCGGCTCGTGAAGTTCCAACCATCGTTCCATCGCATTCAGATCGCTGAGAAAAACAGACAATTAAAGCACGCAGGCGTAGCAATAAAATTACTTGAACCTCTACCACTATCATAGTACTGAGTAGGCCATCTAATTATTGTCGCTTTAGTTGGGCCAACGAGCTGCAAAGCGCTATGAGGACTAATGTCTTCTTGTTCCAGAAAACAAGTAGAACACTTTAGTAGTTTATTCTGTGGCTTTACACGTCGGAAGGGGTCGTGTCAAATTTCACCGGTAGTGGTACGGTCGATATTTGCCAGACCCGGTCAAGGATGAGGCTTCTCAGATTCCAGTGTCTTGAAAAGCATGATAGCTAGAATTCACGACTTGCAAACACAGATCAATTTCCTGTAAAATGCCGCTTTATTATGGTACGCTGACGCTGTCTGTGCAACTTTTACCGTCTACAACAGGAGGCACTACTCTGTTTCCAAAACCCAGTTATCACCGGGGTCATGATCCAGTGGACGTAGTGAATAAGATACCCATTTAAAGTAGATCTTTTGTCACTTTTCATTACTAGCTGTTTTCTACAAATGATGATATAACCTAAATCACTTTGGTTCTTTGCATCCGAGACAATATTGTAATCTTACCTTGCTATCAGGCTTCTCATACTTCATGATAAACATTTAGATGAATGTGAAGTTAAGGAACACACCGCTGCTTGCAAATAATAAGAAGGTGCATATGGTTTTCATTACAATATACGGAGGATTATCAGGTATTGTGGGATGATTGCATCCAACCAGGAAAAGTCATGTTGACAGATCCGGAGATCAAACTAATGGTCCGAGGCGTCAAATTGCGTCATCAAAACATTCAGTTGCTGGGAAGCTGCTAAATAAAGTTCACAATCTCAGCCACTTTACCACGTTAGCCGGTACCAGGCGAAGCTGTGTCTGCATTCGGTCACCAGTTACATGGTTTTTGATGCAGTCACTCATTGTTAATTTAGTAGGTGTATAAGTAATGGCTGAAATTCCATGAGGATTAGCACGGCGAATGCAATAAAAGCTGTACAATTCCACTTGAATATGCGGGTGAACGATGGAGCAGATAACACGCTGTGGAAGCGAAACTTAACTCGGAGACATGGCCTGTGCTGTCTGTTAATGTGGGCCGGAGTCACAAGCCTCAGGCTGATCCCGAAACCATGGGCCGACTCACGAGCATGAGTGATCCCTCGCAGTTGTTACAGTTGGGAAGTAAAGATAGTGGTTATATCAAAGCGAGGGAGATTTGCCTCGAAGATATGGCCGTCAGAGGTGAAGTACGTCACGTGGTCTAAATGAAGATGCCGGTAAACCGCATGGTCTAAGGACATATCAGGATTTGAGGTTAATTCCGTGGAGATAACCCCGTTACTTAGTACATAACCGAAGGTTTATTTTCACTGAGAATAACGTACGGAGAGAAACTTCAACCAAAAGAATGCTGTTCGCAGCACACCAGTTGTGTTTGTCTGCTGACTTACCACATAAAAATTGCCGTATTGAGTTTCAAAGTTAGTTTCCGATAAATCTCGTACCATCTTTTTTGCAGTTCATACCAGCAGGATAAAAGTTCAGCCATGCAGCACTTAATCTTTGAACAAATCCGTTCAATTCGTTCTGCGTGCTGTGACTGTATCTCCTCCTTAGTCTCGGGCGGTTTGATTTCGTTGGAACTTCTGTTTCTGCTCCCTAATATCTCTGCTGTCTCTGTGTCTTGGTTACTACCAGATTTTGTATCAGCTGTGGTAGACGAATGCACATCGTCTAGCGGGTTGGTGATGTCGATGTGAACGTCGGTGTCCGAATCGACCACTTCTCCGGGATCTGTTGTTCCGTAGGATTCTGTGCCGAGAGAGATTCTCTTGAATTCACCGAAAAGCGGTTTCATTTCCTCGCTGTATGCTAGAAGTTGTCGTCCACCTTCTTGGTCATCTTCCGTTGTCCGGATTCCATTTTCACTCCCAGTGTCGATCACAATCTTAGGAGCAATAACGGAGTGTAACGAAAATTTCTCCTGAAGTAACTGTCTGAAGTCAGTTTGAAATGTCTCATAGAGCTCCTGCCCATCATGCAGACACTGTTCGACTTTTTCTGTCCGAGCACACAGTTCGTTGTGATACTGCAAGCACAGTGAGACCTGAGAGCGTATGGTTTCGATTACACGACTGTAGAAGAGGGAAAATTAGTGCAACATGTAATACGCACATTTGAACAGTACGAAAAACAGCGCTTACTCACTCTACTTAATCGAACGAATCGGTTTAAGCAAATTGGAAGCCAACTGTGGATTGTGCGTCATGAAACTGGTCACACAAATGGAAGTTAGACGGATACATTGGGTCGTTGAGGAGTTGTAGCAGTCCCAGTTTTTGAATTCCTTCAAGGAACTTGATTAAATAGTGCAGCTAAATAAAGTGACTGAAATATTCTACTCTGATCCTGGGGCACATATATAAACACACAGCTAACCTTACATCCTAGAAAAAGCAAAGAACACAGCTAGTATAGCCTTGATAATCAAAACGGGCGACAGTTTCTCTTAGACATCTACCCTGCTCAAAATTCGCGGTTTATGAATTTCAAAATGTTGTGAGGTTCCGGCGGCAAGCGTTCCAAGGATATGCAGCAAGACACGTTAGTGCAGTGAAGTGCATTGAAACAATTGTCAAGTCGGTGAAACCCGCCGTAGTGGGTAGACGTGCCTACTTTGCTAACAATCAACTGACGGAGTGCGGTTGTGTGATAAGTGTATCCCCTACCGTACAATGAACAATGAACAATGATTTATAACGGGTAAAAAAGCATATGCTTGACAGGTCCCGTAGGGTGGTTGGAGCAATAGATAAAATGGAAGGATAATCGAACAAGTAAATCGTTTTTTAAGCCTCTACAGATTTCAACACATCACTTCATAATGATAGTTTTAAGTATGGACTGGATGTCTGCACCCAAAGTGGAGCTGTTATATTACAGCAAATGTGGGAAAAGAAATCAAAGGAACGGATAACGCTCACTCGTGTGTTGCTTCCGTTGAGAGATGTGGTAAGTTACTCCAGTTTGTATACATCCATGTCGCTCATTGGGACACTTCTGTATATAACATCACCGCCACTTTGCGGGGAGGGTCAGTAACCTCATGGTTTGGGTCTCGTTATTTCGTCCTCCGAACAGGACGTGCTATGCCAAATAATGCAAGTTGGAAAGTGTGTCATCTAGGCGTTTTTTAAATAGTGCCAATGTGGGGGCAAGGACGACGTGAGTGGGGAGCGCATTCCAAGCACGGGACACACGGAGTGAGAAAGAGTTTCGTCGACAATCATGTCGGCTGTATTGTGTAGCCAGTTTGAGCTGATGACTTCTCAGGTTGGTATTTTGGCTCAGCTGCAAGAGACTGCGACATGGGTGTTTTGGATTCATCAGTATTAAGTAGACCATGATGAGGTCTCCTCGGTGACGACGATATTCACCACTGTACAATCCCAGAGACTGCAGTCTGCGTTGGTAGGGGATGTGAAACAGGCCTCTGACGAGCTTCGTTGCTCTACGCTGTGGAGCTTCAAGTGCACTGATGTCACGCTTGCGCCAGGGACGCCAGGCCTGGATCGCATACTCCACGTGGGGTCTCACGTAAGCGCTCAGCATTTGCGGAAGTACAGATGGCTCGAAATTTCCGAAAGCCCTCCGTAAGAGTCCGAGATGTTGACTGACCCTTTTCGATGCCTTTTCAGCTTGTCTGGAGCAGCCAAGGTCGTCCTGCACGATCACTCCGAGGTCGCATTCCTGGGAAGCACGTTGCAACGGCTGGTCCCCGAGTAAGTATTCATGGATGAGCTGGTGGCGTAAGCTCACGACTTTGCACTTGGCGACATTGAAGTGGAGCATGTTTTCGGATGACCAAGTGTACGCCCTGTCCAGATCGCTCCGCAGTGTTGCGTGATCGTCCTCCGTCCGGATGTCATGCCAAATTTTGACATCATCTGCAAACAGCAAGAAGTTCGACTGTAGTACACTGGCAAGGTCGTTAATGAATGTTAAAAATAAACGTGGCCCAAGTACTGACCCTTGTGGCACACCGCACTGGACGTCAATTGGGTCGGACATGGAGTTGCGGACTCTCACATTCAGCTGACGTTGAGTGAGAAAGTTGGCGATCCAACCAAGCACAGGGTCACCGATTCCGTAGCCTCGAAGCTTGTGTAGGAGGATGCGGTGGTCCAAACGATCGAACGCCTTCGAGAAGTCCAGGTAGAAAACGTCGACTCCAAATCTAGCATCAGCTGACTCCGTCCAGCTTGCTCGGGCCAGCAGCAAGGTTGTAGTGCAGGATCGATTTCGGCGGAATCCGTGTTGCTGTGGCACTATGATATTGTTCTTCTCCAGATATCCTATCAGCGCCTCCGCAATTATACGTTCCATTACTTTGGATAAAACTGGGAGGAGAGTGATTGGACGGTAGTTCGACGGCTCCGCACGATTACCGCTTTTGTAAATGGGAGTGACTAGCCTATGTTTCCACATTGTGGGAATCAGCATTTCGTCAAGACAACGTTGAAAGAACCGAGCTAATTGTTCGGCAATGTTTAGGGCCGCTGCCTTCAACGCCTTCGGTTTAATATCGTCTACGCCTGGCGAGCTGTGCACACGCAACGACATTAGCGTTTTCAACACATTGGTTGCCGTGAACGATACGTTGTGTAAACCTGGGAACGGTGAGAGCTCTGTCAAAATCGGGTGAAGGGATGGTTCACTACGGAAAGTATGGAGGAAGTGTTGACGAAACAGGTTGGCCGCATCCTGTGCAGTTTGCGCATGACCATCTATTGCACGCAAGACCGGGATCCCGCGCTGCACTCTACGGAGTTTGTTGATATGTCTATACAACAGCTTTGGATTTTTGCTGAATTTCGCCGCTAAGTTCTGTTGGTGCTGGAGTTTGTCTTCGCGAATCAACTTGACGCAGTGGTTTCGTTGAGTTGTGTAGACTCCCCAGGTCAGATTACTTGGGCAAACTTTGTAAGCGTGCCAGGCCGAATCCCTTAAGGCCATAGATTTTCTCGTACGGCTTCTTAGGAACAGATCCACTAGCTTCGGGCGAAAGGCCTTGCGTTCTGATGCATTTGCCACTAGCTCAGTGAATTTGGTGACAAACACCATCCAAGCCTCATCGGGCGGATTCTCGGTCAGGAAGGACCAGTTGGTGTCTTGAACAAGGTTAGACAAGATGTCGTAATGTGTAACCATATAAGTTTCCTCATCGTTCTCTCTAACGTACTCCGAATAACAGATGTAACGAAAGTGCAACGTCGCGTGATCACTACGACCTAGTGTTGTAGCTATATTAACGGTGTCAATCATTAGTTCCTCGTTGGTGAGCACAAGGTCCAAGACAGAGGGGGTGTCACCCGTTCTGCAACGAGTGGGGGAGGTGACATTGTTATACAGTGGTACATCGGTAATCAGTTCTTGCAAATCAGCCTTGAACTGTTCGCTGGGCGATGCTGGAACTTCGAGTGCGTGCAGTTTGAAGTCCCCCACCAGAAGAACGTGATTGTGTGGACGTGTCAATACTCGTTTCATCGCAGCAGCAAGGCCTTGATCCATTTCCAAGATAGACATTGGAGGACGGTAAACTATTGCTAACAAACACACATCGCCACGTCTCAGGTGCATACGACACCAAACAGAATCGTTGATGTTTGCTTCTGAGTCATCAATGATCTCAACATGTAGGTCGGAGCAATAATACAAAAGCACTCCGCCTCCTCTGCTAGGCCAATCTTTTCGTAAGGAAGTCATGCCAGGTAGCGCAATCTCGTCATCCGCGATTTCCGTGCTCAGCCAGGTTTCGGTGACCATAACTAGGTCCCAGGGCGTGGAGACCTGGCGAAATCGAAGTTCGGTTAGCTTGCTGAGAAGACCTTGTGCATTAGCATAGAAGCAGGTGAGGGCATCGGTGGTTAGAAGAGTGTTTGTAGATTCTGGTTTTCGGTTGGAGTTTACACCGACCCTTGTGGGGTCGGCTGAAGGTAGTTTTTTTGTAGGACCGATGCTGCAGACCCTAGGGCCAGTTCAGGTCGTTGTATTGAGCTCTCAGCGCCAACAAGTGGGTGACCAACTTGTCCCCCTTCAGCCGGCAGCGTGTTTTGACATTGTCTCTTGTCTGAGCTACATGGCGGCAGAATTGTATTGGTACGTTGCTTGCTTAGTGTGACATGGCCTGTTGGTGATTCAGTGCCCATCGTCTTTATACGTATTTCGGATGGTAGCATTTGACGCATTTTGCGCCACGTATTGATCACATATTCTACCATCATTTTGGAATGCAGCGATATTTTCATCACTCGGGGACCACATCCTTTGTAGTTAGGTGAGAGTGGTAACCTTGATGTCGAAGTAGCAATAACGTTTTCGAGTGAGAGCAGTTCGCGAATAAAACGCCATTCATCCCAGTCATGCGCTTTGGCCTCTAGATCGCTTGAGGTTTGAGCTCGGGGACACCGTGAACAAGAACAGATTTGGCGTCTCGTCGTTTACGGAAGTCGTCCGGATTTTGTTTGCGTTTTTGACGTTCGCTCCAAGGAACATCTGGAAAGAT